AAAGTAAATATTAAATAATTTCCAAGAAGTCATATAATAGTCAATTAATGGGCACAAGAGTTTCAATTGGAGAGCGAATAGTAGCTAAATATCACTTTTTATCATTAATTAATTGTAGTCTTTATATATTAATTAATTTTCATTCACTCTCTTATAATCACTAAATCCTATAAATATTATATATTTTGTGTGAAATTTGGTGAGAATTCTTTACCCGAAAAATCTCACAAAATGTAAAGACAATAATAATTATAATAATCGTTTGGTTTTCCGGTAATTATAGTAAATATTTAGAAAAAAGAGATTTTCATAAAAGAGTTTTTTGTTGCTTTCTTTTGCTTTTTTCGCAAAGAATTTATCGTGAATTCAAAATTGGAGTAAAATTGAGGGAAATATTTGGTCGAAATATATATAATATAATAATAATATATATTTTATAGTTAAGTATAATTGTAATGCATTTTCACCTAAAAAAGGTGGAGTCGAATGTATTGCGAGTCCCTATCGTCTCACTTACTCGACATTCGACGGGAGGTTTGCGGACAAACACCGGTCGGACAGACCGGCGCTCGGGTCGGGTCGGGTCGGGTGGCAAAGTGTGGGGTGTTTTGTATAGTTTAGTAACATTTCACTCATCAGTGCCTCTCCTACGCCAGCGTAAACATCATGTCAACAGCAACTGTATGTCATTCGTCCTCCACATCATTAAAGAGGGACCGAATGTCCAAAATGACGGCCGTCTCCAGAATGAGTCGCCGAAGACTCGGCGCGTCTGTGATCTCGTTCTCCGGTATCGGCGGATGACATTTGGGTGAATACGTTCGCCGACCCTTCAAACCAATCATAGGGTAGTGTTAAAAATAATCGGTAATTCACACACAAGTTGTGGACATACTTTGAAGAGTCGATGCATTTTCATGACAACCGAACAGAATATGAAGCGCAAGATCTGTAGCCGCAGAAAGTCGTCGCCATAGAACTGGAGGTACGCCGGATCCAGTGATCGCGCTCTGACCAGCAGTCGGCCGGCCTCTGCCATGAAGCGGTCGATCTGTTGCTGTCCCTTCTCCCACAGTTGTATCGACAGCTCAATGATATTGGATATCAAACAGATGGCAGTCAGCGGGCAGTGAAGGAATAGCGTGAACAGTGAGCCCTTGTGTTGCTGGTCGTGGAACGGCGGCGGACTCTCTTCCGGCGACATCAACACCACCAACGGTTGGCCGAAGAAGCGGGGGATGTGTTGGAATGCCGTCGAGTTGTCGCTGTCGACGATGAGGAACAGCGGCCGCCGCAGGAATGGGTAGAGATCGCCCGGATATAGACAATGCATATCCTTAACCATCATATTTCGTTTGTTGGCCGAGTGGTCGCCGCCGGCGCCCGACTCACGCAGTTTGGTGTTCGTTATGACTCCGCCGTAATCGTAACCAACTGTTCATCAAATGTGTGACCACTTATTATCAAAGACATTAAGCAAATACAAAGACAACGCATACCGTCGTCGGTGTGTTGTCTATTAACAAAGCATCCGTCGGCCGACAGATACAGCAATAGTACGCCATTTGCGGGCAATTCTTTGAAACCGGAGGCCAGGAATACAAAGAATTGGCTGAACGTTGGCTTATAAAGAAGGTATTTGTGTGGATTATCCCGTTTAACGGAACCGCTGCCACCGACGCCGCGGTGGTCACCGTTTTCCGCACCAAAAGGCATACGTCCGGGCGCTGGAGAGATGTCGTACATCTGCGCGATGTCCTCCTGAGGCTCCCTTTCCAGCGCCTGAAGCATCCGAAACATATCGAGCGTTAATTCACTGAATTTCACCTAAAATTTCGATACATTAAACACATGGTTAGAAAATAGATATGGTTTGAGAGCATTTGGTTGTTCGCGACAGACCTGATCGGAACAGTTGCCGACAATGAGTATCTCTTGTAATGTCAAATGAGTTGTGGCCAACTTCTCGAGAGGCGGTGTATTCATTGGACTCAAGCGATGAGATATAATAAGCGGAATGTTATCCATGTCTACAACCGTTACTATGTTATCGGCCTTTCAATGCGAGCGTCAAAACATTAATTAACATAAACTGATGACAAATATTGCTACACTGTTTTTACCTCGATGAACGATTTAATTTCACTTAATACTAGCGACCACTCGAGCTGATCGTCGGGATCGTAAGTCACTGTGTAATCCTCGATCTGTTTCGCCAATTCCTGGACACAAATTATATGAATGCAAAAATTAGTATTAAAACAATGACAAAGAGTATGGGCGCAAAAAGTGGACACAAAGAAGTGGACACAAAGAAGTGGACACAAAGAAGTGGACACAAAGAAGTGGACACAAACCCGGACTAAATCGCGAACTAATTTCATTTTCTTGAGCAAAAGGCAAACGACGATAAATCTGGCGAAATATCGCAATTTCTTGACCATAAGGTCAGCCCTTTCCTCTTTAGCGGCTTTGCTATAATAACCTCTCGCTCTGATCGCCGAGTAGAAGGAAAAGGCTTCGTTCAGGTAATTGGTTTCACTCGTCCGAAGACTAGATCACAATTCATACCATAAGATTAATTGAATATTAAATTTATGTTTTGAAATGTTTTTGTAATAAAATATATAGTGAAAGACTGACTAATAATGATAGTATAGTTGTCCGATCTTTGAGGCAATTTCGCCGATTTGCCACCTCTTGAGTCCGTATTTCGCGTCCAACACTTGTCTGCGAAGGAAATAATATTTTGTTCATAAAAGCCATTAATAAGTTGTTTTGTGCGATAAATATGAAAAGCGAAACATATAGAAAAAAATGATATATATTTTGTGTTTAAAGTTTTGTCAATAAAATCGATAAATACATAAAACAAAAGATAACATAACTTATGGTAAATAAAACAATAATTATTATCTACAAAAGCGGTTAATTCTGTGTGCCTTAAAAACTCCACACAATTTATGGTGAATTGCCTTTTTTGACGCGAAAAACACACATCACTTAATGTGAATTACAAACACAAAAAAGCATTCAATATATTCTGTGGGATTACTTATACGAATGGATATGAGATAAACAGAAACTGATAATAAATTCAGAAAAATATAATGAAATTAAAATAAATTTTAAATTTTAAACAAAAGAGATTCTATCACTTGGAAAGCAAAAAGCATTAGATTTGATTGATTTGAAAAGAACGTGGTTATCATATATGGGGGCGTGAGAGTGAGGGGGTGTAGTGGTAGACGGGATACCTGTGCTGTTGTTGGAATTTCCATAATTTAGTGTACACATCAAATGTACGGCCAAAGTAGGGCTGCCATTGTTTGTGTCCATACTGTGGTAAATCTCTTTGTGTGTCCGCAGGTATTAATTAAACAGAAAATAGTAAAAATGTTTCTAATTAGCAAAGAGTACGACCAATGGATGGACAGAGAGTGGGGCGAATGTCTTGTGGGCCATACCTGAGACCGTTGAATAGCTGTTTGGACTTCTCGAGGAAGTGACAGAACTCGTTGACAATCTTCCTCTCCTGTTCCTCGATCTCAGACATCACAGCCATTCTTCTCTGTTGATGATGCGATTGAGAGGTGATGTCGTCGGTGAGCGATCCGCGCGAGTCATAGCAGTTGTCCAAACGATTCACTGCCGATATTCTACTCTTTAGCATCAATGACAGCAATGAGGTTCAGATTCTGTGTTCGCTTCACCACAAGTGTCCCGTCTGTCGGCCGCCACCGCCGCCCGGCTTCTGGCGCCTGCCGTTCCTCCGACGCCGCGCTCTCTTATATAACCCGATATTTATTGTGAATATTTAGCACAAATGGATTCCAATGGATGTTTTGCGTGAATTAATTATCATTAAAAAAGCGATACAACTTCATTCACACCGTGTCGAGCATTTAATACCGATAATTAATATTTAATTTTTTCTCCTCTCAAATACGATCTCTCCGTTCGTGTGATATATATTTATTTGTGACAACTTATGGACAGTAATTCCAGTCCATAATCCGGGTGTTAATTATTAATACATAACGATTAATATGCGATCATATGATTGGACGCACAAATTCAATATTATAAACAAACAAACCATTAATACTTTTACGTATATATGAAAACACCATTCATTCAATTTATTAATCAATTTATTATGGTTTTCAATATCGAAATTATGGGTTCAAAACATTGTTTGAATTGCTTTTTATCGGTTATAAAATTGATTACTTTAATAATATTTATACAATTTGGTTATGAATTTTATAATATAAAAGATCGATTTAATATATATATAATAATTAATTAATTAAATTTAGTTATACTAATAGCTTGTGGGCAGTTGTAGTCATACGAGTTCGAGGATCTGTATGAAGAGATAGATAGTATATGTATTGAGAATTGGATGCAAAATATACAATTATATTACACACACATATACACAACGAGTGAAACACAGAGAAAAATATGGTTTTAGTTTTATATATACAGCGAAACAGTGAGAGAGAGAGAGACAGACAGTGAGTGTGTGAGAGAATAAAAACCTAAGAATAGGGAGAATTTGATTAAATGCATCCAAAATGCAATGTATAAATACAGGGCTTCGGTCTCTCTATCCTTACTCTCTCCTACGAAACACACGGTCTGCCATTGAGGAGAGTATATATGAGTGGAGAGAGAGAAAAAGAGATTGTAGTGTATGGTATAGTGTGGCGGCGGTGGAGAGCGCATCACCACTCCATCGCAAACCCACAACAATATACACACATATACTGCATATACAGAGTGGGAGAGTATATAGAATATAGAGATTTATTGATTTTAAGACCGAGTGCTGCTCCACTCCTGCCAGCTCTGGTGTTGTGCTGTCTATATGTGTGTGCATATCATGTATACAAACCTTTATGGTTCCCTGACTATTGGCGGCCACCACACAGTTGCTGCCCGAGCGCCAGCACACGGCCGACACAAAGTCACTCGTGTCGTCCTCTCGCTTATCCTTGTCCTACAAATCGTATCGCAAAAAAGTAACCAAAAAATAAATACAAATCGTTTTCTTATGTAATAATACATTACAAGAGATAACAATTCAAACAATTGTCAGGAAAAATATTACAATAGATTTCAGACAAATAAATAGAGAATATGTCTAATCTTTAGATTCTATAGTAAACAATAGAGAGAGAGAGAGAGAGAGAGAGAGAGAGAGATCTCTCCACTCATATATACTCTCCTCAATGGCAGACCGTGTGTTTCGTAGGAGAGAGTAAGGATAGAGAGAGAGAGAGAGAAAGAGAGAGAGATTCTGTTGAAAACTAAACTCTAGTTTCAATTGAATAGCAATTCTTTCATTTGATGGACAGATACTTACAAATACGCGGACGGAATCAAACCAAAAAGTCAACACTTGTTTACTTAAGCCCTTATAGTAAACGAAAAGTGCATTGTTTTCACTGCCGCAGGCAATAAAGTCTCCATCGGTGGCCAAACCGACAAAATTTTTCTCATTGATGTGTCCTTTGAATGAGCGAATGCTCGGCGTCTTCACCGTTGACCACAGTTTTAGCTGACTGTCGGTCGACGCGGAGACGATCTCCTCTTTGTTCAAGAACTTCACATAAGACACCGCTTTCTTATGTCCTTTGAATACCATTAACGGGTTTTTAGTGTTGCGGAGGTCGTAGTAGTGGACGCAGTGGTCGGCGGATCCAAACGCCAAATGATAACGACTGCAGGGATTGAATTTGACGGAACAGACGTTGGCCTTCGCCTCCAAAGAGGTGACGGAGTTCTCCATATTAGCGGACCATAGTTTCACTTTGGCGTCGTCCGAACCCGAGGCCACGAGTTTGGTGTCCACGCGGTTGAAGTCGACACTCCAACACCGCTTCTCGTGCTCCTGAAATGTGCGCATCTTCTGGCCGGTGAACGCGTCCCATATGGTGACCGTTCCCTCGTAGTCACTGCTGGCCATCATTGACTTATAATAGGAGCTCCAACTCACGCACGAGATCTTCGACGTGCACTCCATCTCATTGATCGGGTAATGGATGTCAAGCGTGTCCTTCACGACAGTCGCGTATTCAAACACTTTGATCTTTTTGGTGACGCCGGCGATCGCGAAGTACTCGCCGTCTTTGTCGAACTCAATGCTCGACACTATCGACGAACCGGTGAACAGATCCGACGCGTACGACAGTGTGGCCAACGGTCGCAAACTGCTGAACGACGTGAACTTATTGAGCGTTCCGCTGAACTCTTGGAGACCGTCGACGGAGGTGTCGTCGTCCGAAGAGGACAGCACTAGGCTTTTGGCACGTGTTGTGAAGTAACAGTCCTCTAAGTCCTCGAAATGGAAGTGCATTTTCTTGCGCCGACTGCTGAGCGACGACTGAAGCCACGGCTGTTTCATATCACTGGCCGACAAACTGTGCCGATTGAAGGCCGCACTACTGTCCAGACACGGAACTGTTGAGCCACTGCTGGCGCTACTGCCGCCACCGCCGCCGCTGACGCCCAGACCGCTGCTACTGCTGGGTTCGGGCGACGGCCACACGTCTCGCTCGAGCGCAGAGCCGGTAGAGTCGGCGTTATTGCCGCTGTTGTCCGCATTCGCCGCCGCGTTATTAATGGTTGCGTTTAGTTTGTTAAGCGCTTCGTTGGCGATGAGATCATCGACACGACGACAGTCTTCGTCGATGAGACGAATCTCACGAGTCAATTGGTCCAACTGTTCCTGTTTATGGTTACGCACTTGTAGTAGAAAATCCTTCAACAAATCGTTTTCAATTTCTTTACAACTCTGGGAAATATAATATAAATATGAGATATAATTGTGTGATAAACACAACACCGCGGATGACATACGGCTTCTAAGAGTATTTTTCGTTGAGCTAATGAGTCGAGCAATAGGTTAACATCAGACAAATCCAATTGATCCGATTTAGTGATAAGTAGTTCCTGCAAATCAGTCATCTCTCGCGGGTTCTGGAGATATGCAAAGAGATTGTAATTAGAGATTAGATATTAAGACAAATGGAAACAAAGAGGTAAAGAGTTTGCATACATTTTTTCCGGCGTCAATCTTCTTCTGGAGAACCAATTTGTGGTGTTTTGTGATTAATTCGTTCACTAAATTACATGTCAATAAAAAATAGTTGTAATAGATTTCATATTAAGCCAAAGACACTAAATTTAATCTCAAGACTTACGCAAGAAGTTGGGAAAGACCTGTTCGACAACGAAATTACATTTCGGACATCTGTTACTCCTCTCCAAAGACATTGAGATGCACTTAAAGCTAACCATTCATTCAATTAGATTCACATCATTAATAAAGTAGTGTTTTTGTAGATAATTGCTGTATTCCTCACCAGAAAGTATGTCCACATTTAGTGACATTCGCCTCTTCGATGATCTCGAAACAGATGGGACTAAACAATGATAATAATGGTATCAATTATCATGAGATGAGCCATCACTTAATCATCAGCTGATTGTCAGTGACATCTCGAGCGGACACTTACCACAAGAAGTCATTGTTTTTGTCTTCGAAGGAACCGCTGACGCAGTTTAGCACCAGAGGAAGGGGTCGTTTGCGTTTGGCTGAAGCCATTGCGGCCGACGATAATCACCAATCACTTGATCCGTACCACAAAAGCGCTGAAGACTTTATTTACAATTAATTTCAATTGAAATGCATTTTGTACTCAAAGTTTGTGTCAATTATTAACACTAATTGTAATTAAAAATCACTTTTAGTTTTGTAATCAAAAAATATAAAACTTTTTACAATTAATTTTACACTAAATTTATAAAATATATAAAAAATATCGCAACCAATGGTTTCGTGTATTAAATCATATCATTATATATAAAACAAGCGCTTAATTATGCATTGAATTACATAATGATTAGTAAAACTGATGAATGATTAACGAAATACACGTTTAAAGCAATGGTTTGTGGTTTTAGTGATCGCTTTGTTTTGGTTTTGAAAACAAAAGCATTTCTCAAGTGTTGCCAAAACTTTGTACTCAAATGTGTCACACATTTCGCAACACATACTCCACTCAACACTACTGCACAGCCATTCATGTAATGTTATGCCAACACATACTCTACGCTAGTGTTGTATGAATTTTATAGTTTTGCGCACTTTTTTGAATTGTTTGCCAAAATATTATTAAATTTTAGTTTTTTTTAAATTTTTCTTTTTGATACAATGCTTAACAGGGGTTTTCTATAGCCCGACCCATCCCGACCCCTATCCCACCCTCTTTCACCTCCTGTGGCCATAAATGACAGTTCTGTGCATTAAAACTGAATTTTTATAACCAACATGTAATTTAATTTAATATTAATTAAAATTTTTAATAACAATTTAATCTAATTTATAATTATAAATATTTAAAGAATTTTCAGAATTACTGTTCAAATTAAAACAGTATTTTGCATTTTATACATTTATTTATACTTTAGTATTATGGCATTTTAATATTTTCTAAATAGTATTCATTTAGAATATTTGCAAATTGTATAATATTTTTGTGACAATTTATGATCAAATTCATTGACTAAACATTTTGAGAATATCGTTGAATAGTTTTAAATGAAAACACTTTAATACATGTTTCGTGTATTTTATTGATAAATGAATAAAACTCTTTGTTTTAAATACAAGTGTATTTAATTAACTTTCAGATTCTCTCTCTCTCTCTCTCTCTCTCTCGACGGCCAATAGAAACCGTTTCTCTAATATTGTGAGCGGTTTATACTGTG